TTTTTTCTTGTTGTTTTGTTTTACTTTATGTTTCTTGTATAGTTTCTATTTTTCAGATCTGGCGACCTCGGCTCTTTCCTGTAGATCTTGGGAGGTGTTCGTTGATTTTCCAGATCTGGCCATCGCCGGACTGAATCTCTGCTGCGGCGTCCTGGAGATCTCGCGCCATCCTCTCTGGAGTAGATTGAAGGGTGTCCTATGGCTAGATCGGTCGACCTCAAGTTGCTCCAGTGATTTCACCTCCCTTCCTCCCTCCCATGCATCGGGCCTACTCTGCTTTACTTCTCCAGTTTGTTTCTTTTCTTTGTCTGTTACCCTTATTCTTTTGGATAGGGACGGATTGTTTCTTTTCTTTGTCTGTTACCCTTATTCTTTTGGATAGGGACTGATTGTAGATGCCGTATGGCAGTTTGCTAATGAATTGCTAATCCCTCTTTCTCAAAGAATAAAAAAATTTCAACTTGGGTTGGTAGCCTCGCCACAAGGCCAGGCATCCAAAAATTGACAGAGAGCGCTTTGCAACCCCCTGACGGGACGAGTAAAGCGTGACAGTGCTATACACCCTTTATTTAGAGGATCATCCAAACCCTTTCGTCCATCTGCTACCGATGTGGGATTGAAACCTCATGTGCCCTAAAGTTATCTCCTGAGAGAAATATATATTTTATAAACCAAAGATGAAACTTTCTTTCTTGAACCTCAGCTAAAACGACGAACGAATATGATCAAACAAAAACAAGTTGAAGAAAAAGGTGAGGACAAATCACACTCAAAGTACTACAATGAAAGTAAAGATATAAGGATAAGTGTAGAGGATAGTAGACTGATGCCGTTTCAAATGAAGAGAAAGGAAAGCTCGTTTCCATGAACAATGAGGACGAAGAAGCAAGTTTCGAGCTAACTGATCTATTGAAAGCGTCAGCTGAAGGGTTAGGAAAGAGGACTTTCGGGAATACTTACAAGGCAATGATGGTAGGCACTAGGCAGGTCAGCCGTAGCTGTGAAACGCCTTGGGGATTTAAGACCATTGAGCCGTAAGAAATTCGTCAAGCAGCTGGAGAAGATTGTTTCTTATAAGCACCCGAAACTGTTGCCTCTCCTTGCTTACTTTGATTCCACTGACAAGAAGTTCTTCATATTCAAGCATGAAGAGAAAGGAAACCTCATCAGTCTCCTCCACGGTAAGTCTCACAATAATTTTATCAAACAGTTTGTAGGCTTTTTGAGTTCATTGACGAAAATGATGGAATTGAACAGGAGCCAGAGGAACCCGGGACAGGATTCCCTTCAGATGGCGCTCCAGATTATCTGTTGCTCGCGGCGTGGCACGAGCATCGGAATATCTTCATGAGAACTCGAAAGAGGAACCCTCCGTCCCTTACGGGAATTGAAACTGTCTAACATGCTCGTCGACTAAAGGGATATGGTTCTTGTTTCGGATTATGGCCTAATTTCCCTCATAGCACCTCCAGTTGCCGCGCAACTTATGTCCTCGTTCAAATCAACGGAATACCAGGCAGCAAAGAGAGTCTCCAAGAAGTCAGTTGTCTGGACTTACGGTTGCCTTTCACTAGAATTGCTGACGGGAAGAATGTGGGTCAACACAGCTCCAGCAGGCATCAACGGGGTGGACCTCTGCGGTTGGGTTCATAGGGCGGTGAGAGAAGAAAGGACGGCTGAGATACTTGACTTGGAGATTGCTGTGCAGAGAAGCTCTACTCCGGGATGGTGAAGCCCTTGCACATTGCCATCCGTTGCTATGATAAGGACACAGCGAATCGGCCAGAGGTTACACAAGTAGCGAGAGAAGTGGAGAACATAAAAATTATTGAATCTGAAGATGAATCTGACTTATCCCTGGATCGATCATTGACAGACGAATCAATATCAACTACTGCCTCAGGACTCGTTGGTGATGACCGAACATTGTAGGAAACATGTTTTATGATTAATGAGCAGCATGCATTTTACTGCAATGGGGTGTGAAACAGATTGTCATTACGTTATTTCTTCTCCTTGTAGTTGTAGGAGGTTGGAATCATCTTACTTACATCCTAAATACACCATATTTAGTATCCTCCACAGGACGGTTGATGGAAGCTGAAATGCAGAGACCTATAACTTTCCTGGTGTCAGCCGGATCAATGATTCCATCGTCCCAGAGCCTTGCTGTGGAGTAATAAGGATTTCCCTCTCTCTCGTATGCCTCTACAACCTTTGATTTGAAGTTGTTCTCTTCTTCTTTTGTCCACTAGATTACATTGATGTGTAGGCGAGGAGAAAAATGTATCTGTTAAGTGATTGAGCTTGATATTGGAATTGCATTTTTTGAGAAGCCGGAAGTTTACCTTAATTCCTTGCTTTTTCTTGTTGGCTCCTTCAATTTGAGATAGCACACCAGCAGCCTATTATTGCCATGAAAAAGAAAACAAATAAGTGCACTCTTAAAAGTACTATGTCATAGATTTGAGATTTGAATTAATGAACTGGAATTTGGATGGGGCAGTTTAGTATATATGATATTATCATTAGAAAAAATGAAATTCATGAGTCAATGAAACTACTATTAGATTTTATTGAAGATCCCACCTGAGCACCACCCATCACAGATATTCTCGCATTAGGCCAAAGGAACATGAAATTGGGGCTATATGCACGACCACACATTGCGTAATTCCCAGCACCAAAGCTCCCACCAACTAAGATGGTCACCTTTGGAACCTGTACAAGACAAGACTTGATCAAAAATGGTGTTGTAATGAACGTAGAAATGATAAAATATGTAATAATTAAAAACCAAGGCCCCTGACAATAGAGAGTGTGACAAATATTTCAACAAATATTTTGGGCTCCTTCTCAACCATATTAGACCAATGGCCAATATATATATATATATAGACAGCCAGTTACATCCAAAGCAATACTTTTTATATCATGGATCACTAATTGCAATACAAGACAATTCAACAGCAAAAGTTCAATAAAGTAGACAAGTTGGCAATCAGTCGTATGGTTTCACACTATACAAACAATGTTGAAATTTCCACTCTTTATAAGTTTTTCAGACATGCAGTGGCAGGACTTGCTCAAAAGGAGGTGATCATAGAGATTTTTTATTTTCCTTTTTGGCCATGGTTATAGAGGTATTTGTCCATGCACATAGTTAATACAGAAAATGAATATCAAGTGAGTTTGGCAATGGAACCTACCTTGGCACATGATACTGCCATAACCATTTTTGCTCCCGATTTTGCAATACCATTTGCCTCAGATCTTGAGCCAACCTAACAGAAAATAATAATAAATCTAGCAAATTCAGTCTATGTACATCAAAGCAGAAGAGAAAACAACTTAGTTGACAGAATCCAGCTCAAAGCATATAATATGATAATAATATTTCACTAATCGGTCTGAAAAACAAGCCTACTCACAAATGAAAAGAAATAAGCCGGCCATAATTGGAACATTTGTTACTTTGATCACATACCATAAATCCTGTGATGTTTTGCAGGAAGACCAGAGGAATATTACGCTGTGTGCACAGTTCAATGAAATGGGCCCCTTTAAGTGCAGATTCATTAAATAATATGCCATTATTTCCAAGGATCCCCACAGGTTGTCCAAAAATTCTGGCAAAACCGGTTACAAGTGTCTGCACCAATGCAATTGGGGTTACAAAATCTATACTTAAAGGAAAATGATTCCCAAAAATCCAAGAGATAAGCATGTCCTTACAGTTCCATACAATTTCTTGAATTCATCAAACTCACTTCCATCAACAATTCGAGCAATAACAGATCTGATATCAAATTGCTGCTTGTGGTCCACTGGAGCAATTGAACGAAGTTCCTTTGCGTCATATAATGGCTCTTTATATTCAAGGTTTATACTTGGTAAAGCATTGAGCATTCCTTGTTTTCCAGCCAAGTGTAAGTTCTTGATAATGTTCCTCCCAAGTGCAAGAGCATGAAGTTCATCTATAAGATGAAATGAAAACAGTCATCAACACCAGAACAAA